AGGCCAGATCCATAATGGCAGCATGCACCTGACCACAAATTGCATTTGTACCCCGTGTCCCCCATCCAATTATCCCCAACCTCTCTCCGCCTCCTCCTTCCCCTCCCTCATGCTCCACTTTGTATCCCAAGGTATGTTCTCTCCCTCTGCAACTCCAATGCACTACTGTGGACTTTCTTTCCTTCTTTCTCTCTTAGCTCCCACTTATGAGTAAGGACATGTGGTATTTATCCCTCTGTGCTTTGCTTATTTCACTCAACATAACTTTCTCCAGGATCATCCATGTTGTTGCAAATGGGAAAATTTCATTCTTTTTTATGGCAAAGTAGTATTCCATGTGTGTATATACCACAGTTTCCTTATCCACTCATCCATCGATAGACATTTAAGTTGGTTCTATGTCTTGGCTATTGTAAACAGAGCTGTGATCAACATGGGAGTGCAGGTGTCCCTTCGACATGATGATTTGCATTCCTCTGGATCCCAGAAGTGGGATTGCTGGATCATATGGAAGATTTACCTGTAGTTGTTTGAAGAACCTCCATACTGTTTTCCATAGTGGTTGTACTAATTTACAGTCCCATTGACAGTGCAGGAGTGTTCCCTTCTCTCCACACCCTTGCTAGCATGTGTTACTCACCATCTTTTTTATTATAGCCAGTCTAACTGAGGTGAGGTGGTATCTCAATGTAGTGTTAATTTGCATTTCCCTGATGACTAGTGATGTTGAGCATTTTTCCTTGTACCTATTGGCCATTTATGTGTCTTCATTTGAAAAATGTCTGTTCAGCTTCTTTGCCCATTTTTTAATTGGGATATTTGGATTTTTTTGCTTGAGTTCCTTGTATATTATGGATATTAGTCTGTTCAGGGTCTTTTATAAGGAAAGGAATTAAGGATGCAGGCCAGCATCACTGGAGGTGGTCCATTCTGTTCTTCCTGGTTGCATCATGGGCACATGCTCAGTTAAGGCTTTGGTCCTTGTGCCTGCTCAGTAGGTCCAAAATGGTGGTGGTGTTCCTTATCATCACCCCAGGAGGGTCATTGTAGCAGTCACCTTGAAGCTTTGTGTGCATGCAGTAATTCCTAAAGGGTTATTAAGGTTAATCTGTAACGTAATTTTTACAATCACAGCTTTGGGGAGGGGTTTTGCAACTCAGTGAATATCTGTTCCCCTCTTATATCACTTTATCAGGGCGGGCCATAGGGTAATCATGTGCCCTGGGAAGTCTCATGACTGAGGAGTAGAAAAGTAAAGAAGTGTCCTCTGCAAGGAAAATGGAGTCAGTTTTGTTCACAGGCCTAGCCTTGCTCTGTCTCATTGATATTGAGCATTCTGGGGTAGGATTCTCAGATACGTTCCTTCAAAATGTAGCTATAAATCTTTTTTATTTCAGGACAGTTTTCTTGAAACAAAGTTTACATATTTGTTCTCTTCCCTTGGTTCGTTTTTTCTTCAGGAATTCCTGTTACATATATGTTAGGTCCTTATCACCTATCCCAAATATTTGTCTTTTTCTCTCAAAAACCTTTAAAATAAATCTTTATTTTATTTTTTTTAGTTGTATAATTATTATTTTCCTTCTATTTCTCTTAAGACATTATCTGTTGGGTTTATATGCTCTTATGCTCCTTTTTAGTGAAGTTTCTATTCTGAAAAAATTTTTTCCTTTATTTCTAATTTTTTCCTTAGTTTTGTCACATAATTTCTGAGTTTTTCTAATTCTGATATGTGTTGTACTCTCATGACTTATATAATTTTCCTAGGGCTGGCCCGTGGCTCACTCGGGAGAGTGTGGTGCTGATAATTTTCCTAGTGTCTTTTAGCTTGTTTTGAAATATTATATAGGTTTTTGTTTTGGTGGCTGGCCAGTTTGAGGATCGGGGTTACAAGGCTGCACTGTAACCAATTGAGCTAACCAGCCAGCCAAATAGGCATCATGTTGATCTCTTTCTTGACATGCTTTCATTGGCTCTAGGGATGTTATTCTACTCCTTACTGTTTTTTTTTTTTTTTAATAATAACTTTGTATGGGGTTTGATATTGATACCTTTCTGTTGCTCATGTTAGAAAAATCGGCTTTTCTTAACTTTCAATAGGAGGCTTAGTTCAGAATAGTTCTCTCAGTTTCCTTTTCTATTGTTTTTCTGTAGTGTTAAAAAGAAAAAAATGCTCCCGCCGAGGGTTCGGATCTCACTGGCTGAGTGAGGTGCGGGCGCGACGCCGAGGGTTGCGATCCCGTTGCCGGTCCCAGTCCGGTACAGGCGCGACACTGAGGGTTGCGATCCGTTGCCGTTCACGAAAAAAGACAAAAGGAAAAAAAAGAAAAAAGAAAAAAAATGATGGCTAGCTTTTTGAGATTTCCTGGATTTGGTTTCTCTTCTCCACTATTATCTGGACCTTTCCTTTTTCTCTATTGCTTCTATTCTGTTAAGTTTTTATTCTACTCCCAGCAGTTTCTCTTTAATGTTGAGCTCAATCCTAAAAGGGAACCCTGGCTGGTTGGTTTCAGTAGTCCATAGGGAATAGATTGCTTTAGCTTCTACAGACCTTACCTTGCCTGCTATTGGAATGGATAAAACCCCTTCCAATTCTATCTACTGTCCTCAAATTGGCCCTCTGCTTTCTAATAAATGCTTATTGGCTGCATTTGGGTTTTCCTGTTCTCAGATCTTTCTGGTGCCTCTTTGTTCCCCTGTGTCTCCTTCCTCACAAATGGTGATACCATACGGGTCTTGAGGCCATAGTTGGTTTGTCCCCACCACTTGTCTTTTAGGATTTGTGAGGATCCCTTATGCCCATTTTGTGAAAATTGTTAACCATGGGTTTTGAATTTTACTATCCAATTGCTCTGTTATTTTTATGTGGGTCTTTGGGAGATATTTCAAGTCTATGCTGCCACTGCCATCATCTCCGAATCTCTTCTGGCATTATTTTTAAAAGATCATTCTTGTTTTTAAAAGAAAAATTTTAATTTATTTTTTCATTCTTGATCTTATGTGGAGCAGAGACTGTAAGGTGTTGGAGGCAAGGGTCAATGCAGGAAGAAAAGTTAGAAGGATATTGCGATAATGCAGCAAGAGATGATGGTGACTTGGGCTTGGAGGGAGGAGGGCAGGTTACAGTAGATGTGGTGAGAATTGGTTGGTTTCTAGATTTACAAGTATTGTGAATGTAGAGCCAACAGGATTTTGTGATGGCTGGGTCAGTTACGTGGGAGAGAGAGTCAAAGATGATTATAAAGATTTTGACTGGAGCAACTGGAAAAATGGATTTCCCATTTACTGAAATTGGAAGACTGCCAGAAGGGCAATTTGGGGTGTGAGGGGCGGGGAGAGAAATCAGAGCTCATTTTTGGCCCTGCTAATTTTTTTTTTTTTTTTTTTTTGTCCTTTTTTTTTCGGGACCGGCTGCACCGCGCTCAGCCAGTGCGCGCTGTGAGCGCACCGGGCATCCCTATATAGGATCCGAACCCGCGGCGGGGGGGCTGCCGCGCTCCCCCCGCCCCCCCCCCCCCCGGGGGGGCGCCGGGCCGGCACCATTTGTTTTTTTTTTTTTGTCCTTTTTTTTTCGGGACCGGCTGCACCGCGCTCAGCCAGTGCGCGCTGTGAGCGCACCGGGCATCCCTATATAGGATCCGAACCCGCGGCGGGGGGGCTGCCGCGCTCCCCCCGCCCCCCCCCCCCCCGGGGGGGCGCCGGGCCGGCACCATTTGTTTTTTTTTTTTTGTCCTTTTTTTTTCGGGACCGGCTGCACCGCGCTCAGCCAGTGCGCGCTGTGAGCGCACCGGGCATCCCTATATAGGATCCGAACCCGCGGCGGGGGGGCTGCCGCGCTCCCCCCGCCCCCCCCCCCCCCGGGGGGGCGCCGGGCCGGCACCATTTGTTTTTTTTTTTTTGTCCTTTTTTTTTCGGGACCGGCTGCACCGCGCTCAGCCAGTGCGCGCTGTGAGCGCACCGGGCATCCCTATATAGGATCCGAACCCGCGGCGGGAGCGCTGCTGCGCTCCCAGCGCCGCACTCTCCCGAGTGTGCCATGGGCTCGGCCCTGGCCCTGCTAATTTTGAGTGCATGTTAGACATCCAAGTAGAAATGTGGAATAGACAGTTCAAATGGTATTGAAATTCAATGAGAGAGATCTGGGCTAGAGATAAAATTGGGAGCAAATAGATGTTACTTAAAGCCATGAAATGGGATGAGACCTCCTAGGGAGCGAGTACAGATGCAGAAGAGAAGAGATCTGAGGTCTGAGCTTTAGGAGCACTATAGCGTTTAGGTGTTTGTGGTATGGGTCTGATTTCTGAACATTTTGATGCTTTCTCCTCTTTTTTTTGTACAAAGTTTTAACACAAATACTGAACTTAGCAATTAACCAGTTCCTAAAAAGTTAAGGGGGAGGCCAGGTTCAAGAATATTCCTTAAGGCAGATATTGAGGACTGGCATGCTTAGTATTTCTTCCCACCTCCTCCTCTGTTCTGCAGAGGCTGGAATGCTAACTACACTTCCTAAAACCCCTTCCAGCTAGGTGTCATATTAAATTTAGGATCCACCAATTAGATCTACATGAGACTTCAATTCAGAATTAAGTGGGCAAAAGAGGGAGGACATTTGTCATCTATTTTGCAAATCATAGCAGAGGCAGTGTGTTTCATAGCTGGTGGTATAGCAGTGACATCCCAATTTGCCAGGAGCTCAGAGCCCTAGACACTTAGCTTAGAGCGTTTTTGTTTTTCAGCTCTCCTAATTATTCTGCAACTCATTTAATATTCTTGTAACAATTCCCTTCCTGCTTATACTAGCTAGAGTAAAGTTTATTATCTTAAAATAAATTCCCTCCCTGGGTCTGATGTAGTGTGCTTGTGATATAGATGTATGTGTAAACTCACTCATGAGTGGGAAATGGGTATGTGAGTGTGTGTGTATGAGACGTGTGTGTACACATTCAGGGTGGAGAGAGTGTGTGGGCACTCATGGGCAATTATGGCATGTGCTTCACTAGAGGAATATGAAGAGGAGTACTCGAACAAAGAATTCCTGACACCCAAGTTCCAGGGCCAGCCCAGCGATGCTGTACGCATCTTCTGTGGCCCGAATGTAGGATTGGTGTGGCCCTGGAAGTCTCACCCAATTTCTGATATCCTGGAGGTCCGTGGGTACCGACTGTGGGGCCAGTATTTGCCCCGCAATTATGAGCAGCTGCAGGAAGACCTAGACAACAACCCTCGAATCCAGCAGGCACTGACTATACAACAGGCACTGCTAGCGGTAAGAGCAGAGGCTTAAGGAGTGGGATGCCGCCCACCAATTTCCATCATCGCCTCCCATCCCTGCCTTAAGCACTTTGTCTGCCCTTAGGACATGCTGTGGGAAGTGCAGGAATTCTGCCAAAAACATCACTGGGTAGCAGACATTTATAAATTCCTGCAAGCCTGGCTGCCCCAGAAACTGGAGAACATGAGGGGCTGTCCCATCAAGAACTATGTGACGCTGGTGAACAACCTAAATGTTTGGCTGGCCCATGTCTCCAACATGCCTATCGAGTTGCTCACGAAAGGCAAGCTGCTGCTGCTGAGCTGCCGTGACATACGGGCAGAGATGGGTGAGTGCTGCTTGCCTTCCTCCTTCATTACATCTATCCAAATGGCCTGCCTTGGGCGTGCAGTGTCCTCCAGGGACCTTTGGTGCAGGGCCTTCATTGGAGCCTCCTGAAGCCCCAAGTCCCAGTCCCTTCCCTTTGTTATCAAAGGTATGATCACTACAGAGGACAGCTTCTGTGTTTTGGCTCTGCTCATTCTCTATATTCACTAGGAATCATGTTCTTGTCACCCAGCACTTTCTATTCTTATGATGTAGAAGTAGTCTAAACCAAATGTGACAGGAAAATCGTAGCCTGCTCCTTTGGCTTCTGAGCTCAGTTTTTTTTATAGAGATTCTTGGGAATCTAGGGTGCCCCCTCTCCACATGTAGCAGGGTCAAGATTTACACTACGATTTTCATGTGTAAAATGTTACTCTGTTTAACTGATCGTGTCTTACTCTGTAATCCTAACTTCTGCAGGTGGTAAAGAAGAACATACCTTCCTAATTAAACAGAGCTTTTTTCATTCAAAGCAGTCACTTTTGGCCTAATTCAGTCTATTTTGCATATTTGGTCAATTCAAAATTCCTACTACCTTTCTGGATTGTTTTTAATCTCAAGTGTCCTCTGCTCCCTTTTCCATCCCAAGGTGCGATCTGTAATTGGGGAGGGCCACTGGGATGCATGCTCTTCTTTTCCGGCTTCGGAGGTATAACACATCCTTGCCTGGTCTATGCCCTCCTGATGTTGCTGCTTCTGGTGCTACTGTGTCCTGGGCTGGTGTAGCTGCGGTGTGTCCTCTTGGTCTAGTAGGGGCCCAGAATGTTTACCTTTGCTGACTCAGACCTGCCTTGGCTCTTTGGGGTTTTTGTGATCTTTCATCCAGTTTCTGTCTTAGGCTGGCCACCCCCATAGCTTTTACTTCAGGATCCCTTGCCCTTCAGCACAGGAACCCCACTCAGCCCATTGGTTATCATCTCTCTGCCATCTTCTGTATCCCCTGCTGTTTGGGAGCTGTGGAGGCCTTGCAAGCATTGTATTTGGCCCTCTTCCTGCTTCAGCGCCTCATACCATGATTTCTACTCTGCTATGACTATTTCATGCTAGCACAAGGGCACCCTGAAAGGTCATCTCTTCCCAAAGTTCCATATGGAGGGTGGGGCTCAAGAACACTCTACTATCTGTTTCCTCCTCAACCCATCTGTCTCCCTCCTTTTGCCACTTCCTACTACCCCCAGTAGGCCAAGGCCCAGTTGTTGGCATCCCTTGGTCTCTGATAAATCTGGTTTATGACCTCGTCTTGTCCCCTCTGTTCTCTTTCCCCCTTTGCATGGGAAGGATGTCTCATGCTATTGTGCACTAGCTAAGTGCCTCAGTCTAGGAGCTGGCCTTGGAGAAGCTCATAGTGGGGTGGACTGGGAAGCCAGCAATTTGTTCTTCTAGGAAACAGGGAGGTTGTTCTGTTTCCTCACCTAGCCCCCAAGGATGGTGTATTAGTTCATTTCTGTTGCTTTTAACAAAATACCTGAAAGTGAGTAATTTATAAAGAAACAATATCTGTTGCTTACAGTTTTGGAGGCTGGGAAGTCCACAGTCCAGGGAACGCATCTGGTGAGGTTACCCTACAGCAATGCAGGGTGTCACATGGTGAGAAAGGTGGAGCACAGAGAGGTAACTCCTCATCCCTACTTTTAAAGTCCTCAGAACCATGCCCATGATGACCGTTAAACCATTAATGGATTAATTCATTTACTAAGGCATGGTCCTCACAATCAAATCACCTCTTCAAGGCTCCACCTTTCAATTACCATAATAGGATTTCCCACCCTCTTGACACTGTCGCAGAGAGGATTAAGTTTCTAATACATGGACAAAATCTGTATTAGTCAGGGTTCTCCAGAGGGATGGAACCAATAGGATATGTTTATAAATACATGAGCGGGAATTTATTAGGGGAATTGGCTCATGCAGTTGTGAAGAGGACTCCCACGATAGGCCCTCTGCAAACTGGATGCCAGTAGTGTGGCTCAGTCCAAAGGGACTCAGAACCAGGGAAGGCCTCAGAACCAGGGAAGCCGATGGAGCCATTGGTGTAAGTCCTGGAAACTGAAAGCTGAAGAGTTTTGGGCTGCGATGTCTACAAACAGGAAGGAGAGCAGGGTATATCCCAGCTCCAGCGGATAGAGAGAGAGATTCACCTTTTTTCTCCATTTTTGTTCTCTCTAGGCCCCCAGCAGATTGGATGGTTCCTGACCATATTGAGGGCTGATCTTTCCCACCCAGTCTACTCAGGCTTTCATGCTAATCTCTTCTGGAAACACCCTCATGGACACACCTGAAAAGAGCTTTACCAGGGTCATCAGTATTCTTTAATCTAATCAAATTGACACTTAGAGTTAACGATCCCAGATGGCAATAACAAGGTATTTGCTTACTGCATAACTAGATACTATTGGACCTGTGGCCCCCAGGGCCTGCTTTCTTTATGAAGGCAAGAGGCCTTAGAACTGGGGCCTGGAAAGAGTCTGTTTAGAAGTGCCTTCCTGCCTAGCCTTACCTGTCTTTGCTTCTCAACAAATGAAAGCACATGTCTCATTAGGTATGTTATGGGCCACTAAAACTCCCTGCTCTGTACAAGGGGTCAGGCTGTCAAGGCAGGAGCAGGGAGGGCCTGTGATTGGTCTGCTTCCCTTCTGGCCTTGTTTTGGGCAGGCTTTGTTCCACTGCTGCTCCAGAAGTCTGTGTTCTTTTTCTAGTTTCTTAACTTCTCGATCCTTAGTCCAGTATCAACTGGTCTCTTCAAGAGAGCAGGAGGAGAGAAATCAGCACAGGGTTTAGAATCCTGGCTCTGTTTTTCCCTTGCTCTATGACTTCAGATCACTAAGCTTCACTTAGTTTCTTTCTTTGTAACCCGGGTGTGATAAGGAGGATTAAATGAAATATTATTTGCAATACTCCTATCATTGAGTATGAAATGGAATTTTTTCATTTTGCTTTATCCCCTTCTGTCCATCCTTCTTCCTGATCTAATTTTGTCTTCTTATTCTCCAACTCTGTTCTTCTTCCTGGGCTCTGTTGAACAGTGAATGGCATAATTATCTACTCTGGTGAGTTGACCTCACCAGAAACTTGGGGTCATCCTTTACTGCTCCCTCTCCTTAACCCTACTACATCCAACCTGTCACCGAATCCTTTCCATTCTTCCTCCTAAATATCTCTCAAATGTGTTTTCCCATTCATCTCCAGCTTCCAATCCCAAGGAGCCTGGTATTTATCAGTCCGTTGCTATCTTATACCATACGGTGTCGCTGTTGAGCTCCTGTCTGCCTTCACCTGCCTGATGCTGCTGGTCCAAAAGCAGCACCGTTGCAATGACCTAGCTACTGTCAGGGGCCAGAGGAATTGTTTGAAAAAGGATGAGTTCACTTCCTCGTGTTGTGTTCAGCATAGGGTGCCCTCCCAATATGTTTTCTCAGTCTCAGTTCTTTGCACACAGTCCTCTTGGTTACTTCCTCCAAGTGTCTGAAAGTGTCATACTTACTATTTTACACTCCAGTTGCAGAGATGCAAAAAAGGGATAGACTGATTTACTTTTCACATAACACAAAAAATATATACTTATGTATATATTTAAATATTTATTTATTTATTTTTAAATTTTATTTTATTTTGTCAATATACAATGTGGTTGATTATTGTGGCCCATTACCGAAACCTCCCTCCCTCCTCCCTTTTCCCCCTCCCTCCCAATTATGTCCTTTCTGTTTGTTTTTCATATCAACTTCAAGGAATTGTAGTTGTTGTGTCTTCTTCTCCCCACCCAGGTTGTTTGTGTATTTATTTATTTATTTTTAAATTTTATTTTATTTTGTCAATATACAATGTGGTTGATTATTGTGGCCCATTACCGAAACCTCCCTCCCTCCTCCCTTTTCCCCCTCCCTCCCAATTATGTCCTTTCTGTTTGTTTGTCATATCAACTTCAAGGAATTGTAGTTGTTGTGTCTTCTTCTCCCCACCCAGGTTGTTTGTGTATTTATTTATTTATTTTTAGCTCCCACAAATAAGTGAGAACATGCCTGACTTGTTTCAGTTAATATAAATCTCTCTAGGTCCATCCATGTTGTTGCAAATGGCAGTATTTCATTCTTTTTATACCTGAGTAGTATTCCATTGTGTAGATATACCACAGTTTCCGTATCCACTCATCCGATGATGGACATTTGGGCTGGTTCCAACTCTTGGCTATTGTAAAGAGCACTGCAATGAACATTGGGGAACAGGTATACCTTCGACTTGATGATTTCCATTCCTCTGGGTATATTCCCAGCAGTGGGATAGCTGGGTCATATGGTAGATCTATCTGCAATTGTTTGAGGAACCTCCATACCATTTTCCATAGAGGCTGCACCATTTTGCAGTCCCACCAACAATTATATTTAAATATATATAATGGAGTGGAGGCAGGCTGCCTGAGTTTGAATCCCTGCTCTGCCACTGTGCGATGCTGACCAAATTACTTAATCTCTGTGAGCCTCAGTTTGCTTATCTGTAAAATAAGGATAATATTAATATTTATCTCAAAGGGAATTTGTGAGGATAAAATGGGTTCATACAGGTAAAGTACTTGAAATAGTGTCTGGTACGTAGTAAACCCGCTATACTGGATTTGGTGGTATACTGTATTTCCATATTTTATTTTTCTATTCTGAGAATATTTTAACATCTCTGAATTTAAGAGGTATCTTATGGTTGATAGCATGTCAGAGTTTAGATGACATTATTTTTTTCTTTTTTAGTGATATATGAAATAGTGATGCTTCTTATACTTCGTGGTATATTAGATTTGATGAGGTGTCATAGGGGTGTTATTTTTGCTCTCTAAAACAATGAAGTTATTCTTATCACCAAGGGCAGTTTCTAGGGTTATCCAGGATTATCTTCTAGCCCCATATTTACCTGAGAGCTTCTTTCCTCTAATCCTTAAAGACAAAAACAAAAAAATCCCCACAGATTGCACCCTCTTCTTGTTACCCTTTCTACTAGAGCAGATGCAGTAGGGCTCCAGAAGTGGAATACTTTCATCTCTGAGAGAGCATTCTGCTGTTCATGAACATGTCATTTCCATGCTCTTGCACATGATAGTTCATCTGCTTTAGGCATTAACTAGGCAACACATCCAACTCTAATGTCCTCCTCTCTGAAGAGGCCTTTCCCAGCCTTCAAAGGCCCCCTCTGTCTTCGCTATGCCAGGTTGAGGGTTCCTGGGCACTCACAGAAGACTTTTATCACACTGGGTTACAATTGTCCATTTGTGTGTCTGTCTTTCCCATCGTCTTGTGAACTTCCAAAGGTGGGGAAATTTTCTGTCTCATTCATTCCTCATTCATTCTTGTCTACCAGTGCAGAGTATGGCTGGACATTGAGCAGGGGTCCAGTAAGCATTCAGTGAGGGAAGGAGTGAATTCATGATCTGGCTTCTCCTTCAAGCCGATTCCCACTCTGGACCTCTAGCACTTCCCCAGAATTCCCTAATACCTGCCTCTTCTTTCTCTAGAATCCAAACTGGACAACATGAGGAAGGACATTCTTGCACAGGTACAGGATGAGTGCTGGAGCCGCAGTCAGCAGCTAATGACAGAGCTCACAGATTTCACACGGGTCTTCCAAACCATCAGCTCAGACATTCATGCCATTGCACAGTGCTCCCAGAAGGTAGGCTCTCCCCATCCATCCTTCTCAGCCTATCCAGGTCCCATCCTGCTCAGAAGCTCCACACACTCTTCAGGCCTGTGCTGAGTTCCCGGCAGGGCTTGATGCACAAACTGTGTTCACATAATGATGTACCCTTGCTAATTCTTGCCCTGTTCACATGGCCCTCAGTTTCCTCAGGGGGCGGCCCTGGTGTGATGAGAGAGACAGAGTCCTGCTTTCATAGATGTGATTCTGCTCTCTGTGATAGTCAGGTAGGGATACATTGCCCTGTCATTTGGGTAATTGTCTGGTGGGTGAGAACTAGACTGCTGTGAGCAATCTGATCCCTGATTACCCCTGATATTGGTTGGTTAAACAGCTGCTGCTGGGTCTGGAGCCTCCGCTCCAGAAGGTGGGAGTGCACTTTGGGCGCAAAGAGGCGTGCAGGGTTGTGGGGTGCTGGTCTCATACTGTGGCCCCTGCAGTTGAACGAAGCCAATGAACAGTATTCCAGCCTGGAGGAGCGAATGGAATACATACGGTCACTCCACGAGCTTATCCGCAACCACTTCAGTCTCTTTACTGCTGAGAACGAGGCACTGGACATCTCGGTGAGAGGGCAATCCAGTGAGTCACCCATTCCTCTCGGTCCCTCTCCCCCACATGTACTCTACTGTCCTCTGCTTGCCCCACAGCTTCTAGATGTATGGGAGGCATTTCAGTTTGAGAAAAGCCAGGCCTCAGAGTTCCTGCTCAGCAAGCGACATGCCATCGTGCCCAAGCTGCGGCAGCTGATGGCAGCAGCACTGGCAGAGCTGGAAGGCCTGCTCGAGAAAGCTCTGTCTGGTCCCTTCATGGACCCTGCACAAGAGCAGAGGAGCATTGAGCGCCAGCTCATCTCCCTGGAGCGTCAGTTCCAGAACACAGTCAGCCACCTCAGTGAACTGCACCATGCCTATGCCACCTTCACTGGTACTGAGGATCCCCGCTCCCTCACCATTGGCATGTGATAGACCCTCCAACTGAGATAAGGGTTGGGACTTAGGGTCCTTTGTCCCATGTGACCCTAAGCAAGCCTTGGGAACCATATATCTTCACTGGTCTCTTTTATAAACAAAAATTGCAGGACAAAATCTTCATATAATTATATTGGATATGTCAGGTGGTGTGCTTAGGGTGGGGATACAGGAGGCTCACAGTTTGGTAGGGAAGGCAAATACGTGAATGTTTTATTAGAGTTTGATGGGGTCAGGGACTGAAAGCATGTGCAAGAGAAATGTAAGAGTGCCCTCATTGTAGAACTTAGTTTTTATGCAGTCCTGTTCAGCAGTCGTGCACAAGGCAGCAGGTTCCAAATAGGTCTTGACACTCTAGTAGCCACTGCCTCCAGCCAGTGTGGTGTACAGGAGACGGCTCACTAGCCCACAGGAGGAGATCAGGACAGAGCTATTGGTCTTAGCCCGTCCATACAGTGTTACAGCTAGGCTGGTTCCCTTCTGCACATAAAGAACTTTGTGGGCTAAGTTTCTTTTCTCAGATACAGTCACTTATATCCCTTGGAAGGGCACATTTCTTCTGAGTTGCCCCCTTGGCCAACTACCAACTACTACCATCTCTGCCTGTGGGCATCCCCAATCATTGGGCCATTTGCCCCAGATGTGAGGTGAAGGACATTCTGGAACCTTCCTCAAGCAAGGAACTTTTTCTTTGGTAGAGTATTAGGAGATTCTCAGCCCAGACTCTAACTGACACGGACCACAGACCTTGACCTTTCCTGCTAGGGGTTGGGAATGTTTGTGAAAAAGCAGAGGAGGGACTTGGACCTTGTGGTGTTTGGCCCAGGAGACCCCAAAGCATTGCTTTTACTTTCTTTTCACCCCTCTCTCCTCACCAAATTCCTAGTTTTTGTTAAAATAGTCTAGGATTTTAGATCCAAATGGTTAATAACTACCCCTTATTTTTCATCATGCATCTTCTATTTTACTCATTACTTTTGGCATTTGCTTTGTTTTATAACCATGTTAACAACTATTTTGACATATTAGGTTTACTGGTTTGATTTACATACTACCATTTTTTAAAAAATACCACATCTTTATTTTTATTCTTTCTTCAGATGACTAGAGTATTTTTTTGAGTACTTTATTTTTCTGAGAAGGGAATTAGAGTGTTAAAATCTTTGAGCTCCTTATGTGCTGAGAATGACTTTATAATGTGCTTATATCACAGCATGGCTAAATATTAATTTTTTTTTTTTTTTCTAAAAGATGACCAGTAAGGGGATCTTAACCCTTGACTTGGTGTTGTCAGCACCACGCTCACCCAGTGAGCAAACCGGCCATCCCTATATGGGATCCGAACCCGTGGCCTTGGTGTTATCAGCACCACACTCTCCCAAGTGAGCCACAGGCCGGCCCCTAAATATTAAATTTTGAAGTCACAGATTTTTTTTCTTCAAACTTAGATATTGCCTCATTGTCTTCTAACATTTAGCATTGTGAACAAATCTGCTATCAATCTGATTTTTTTCCTTTGTAAATAATCTGTTTATCAATTATTTGATAATGGCTCTTGTATTTGCTCTGGTTTCCTTCCAGAATTCTTATGCATGTTGGATTTACTGGATCTCTACTTCATGTCTTTTATATTTTTCATCATCACTCGTTCCTTTATTCTTTTTCTCTGAGTTCCGGAAAAGAGTCATGACTTGTCTATAAGCTTCCATTTTCTGTGGTATCTACTCTGTATTTTCCATTGCATATTTTGTTTCTATGTTTTACCTTGTTTTGGTTTTTTGTTGGCTGGCCTGTACAGACATCTGAACCCTCGACCTTGGTGTTATAACACCATGCTCTAACCAACTGAGCTAACCAGACAGCCCTTCCATTGCATTTTCAAACACATACACATATTGTATGTGTATGTGTATGCATGCTTATGTGCACATGTATATGTGTGTGAGTATATGTTTATGTGTATATATACCTCCATATATTTCCTACCTTTATCTGCTGAAGAGGACAAGAAGCAAAATTAGCCCAGTAGCAAGAAGCCACGTTGTGGTCAGATCTTAATTTCTAATACCATTCCCCACTAAAAGGAACCAGGGCTCCTCAGAGAAAGGGATGATTCCAGGGCTGTGGCAGGGTGGGTACAAGATGAGTCTGGAGTATCTTTTTATGCCAGAAAGTAAGGGAGTGTTAAGTTTTTTTTTAAAAAAAGTGATGGGAGCATGTCACAAGGATACAGAAGGGATGCCAACTGGCCAAATCTCAGACAATTTGAGCACCAAAGTAAGTATAGTAATAAATTCTAAATTATTGAAAAAATAGGAGTTTTTTATCCATAGTAATAAAAAAAAATAAATCAATAATGGAGAACTGAGGAGTCGTGCTTATAATAGAATGCCAAGAGCAGACTGGTAAATGTGGAAGGAGGGCTAGAGTGGGAAAATCATCATTTTGCAACCATCATAGTAAATACTGGATCAGCTAAAGGTCATCAAGGGATGCCAGATCTGGGGCACATTTGATGAGGAGCAGAATATTTGCACTGTCTTAGAGAGTTTCCCCCAGAGACTACTTGTTATTTGCAAAGGAAGAAAAAGAAATGACAGTTAGTGGAGAAATTGGACAACAGATTGACCAGGTGATCAAAATTAAAATCACCGATGAAGGACATATGAACATCATATGCCTCCAGATGTGATACCTGGAGAAGGACACAACATCATCTCTGCAGTAGGCCAGTTGAAAATGAATAACACCATAAAAAAAAAAATCACAAAAACACATGAGGAACCTTCTAGTAACAATAAAAAGGAAGAAAAGGAGACTGTATACTTCAAAAATGTCTACATAGGAATGTTCTAAATTAAAAGAAACTAAAGAGACATGACAAATAAGTGCAGTACTTGACCCTAGACTGAATGCTGTATTTGAGTGGAAAAAATGCTATATAGGATATTATTAGGTCAACTGACAAAACTGAAATATAGTCAATAGGTTAATGTATTGTATCATGTAATATATGAAGTTGATCATTGTACTGTGGTCATATGAGAGAAAATTCCTTTTATTAAGAAATACACATTTGAGTTGTCGCTTTGCCTCCCACGGATTTGTCACCCCTTTTCCCCTGGGTGATGGAGCCACAGAAGATTTCAAAGCCCATCTCTTCTGAGCAGTGAGAAGCCCTGAAGTGGTTAATCTCCTGGAACCCTCAAGAGAGAGGCATTCCTTTCATTTGGGAAATTAACCATGAATTGGGGTTCTCTTCCCACATTTATTCTCCAGACCAGTAAGTTACAGGAAGAGAACATAGGTGGGGTTACAGTTTAACAATATAGGCTGGTAACATTCAGTAAAACAAGGCAGATGACATTCCATAAGGCAATTTAAGCAATCCACCAACAAAAGCTTGATCTTAGCAAACATTCCTTTTCCCTACACAACTTCCCAGTATCTTTACATATCAGTCAGTAACTTGTCTGTCTTTGAACCAGCAGCCTTGCTGTGTTATAATTCTTTATCTTACAACAGAGACTGAATAGCCTGGGCAAAATTTTCTGGTTTTTGCAAGGTCAGCATTTTACATGTACTTTTAAGAAGTTAGACTAAACCTCAAAGTACAAGAAACTAGGCCCTGTGAAATATATTTGCTTTATAGTATACTCCACATTGAGTATTTGGGGGTAAAGGGCCATGATTTATGTAACTTACCCTTAAATAGTTCAGGAAAAAAATTATGTTTGTGTATGTATACACACACCCATATATACACAGAGCATGTGAACACAAATGATGCAGCAAATGGGTAAAATGTTAACAAAAGGTGAATCTAGATAAAAGGTATACAGGTATTCATTTTACTGCTTTTTCTTGCAACTTTTTTTTTTTCCTTTTTTTTTGAGGGAGGGCAGCTGGCCAGTATGGGGACCCAAACCCTAGACCTTGGTGTTATCAACACCATGCTTTAACCAAGTGAGCTAAATGGACAGCCCTAAGTTTAAAAAACTTGAAATCATTTCCAGATTTAAAAAAAAGATTAAATGCAATGGAAATTACTGAGTAGATGCAACAGAAAATGTTCATCGAAGGACATTTGCTGTTAATCCTCAAGTCTTTTATCTTTTCATGTGTTTGGAGGTGTTGTATCTGTTTCTTCTTACAGAGAAAGTTCTTTATTTGTTCAATAATTTGATATTGAGACAACTGCTATCAAAGATTATATGGGTCACTAGCCAGATCTTTTGTGTTTGGACAAAGAAAGATTGAGAGTTTAGGCTTACTATCATTTTTTTTTTTTTTTGTCACATCAGACCTGTGGTGTTCTTGTCACAATCAGACCTAGTGATTCTCACCTTTTTAATATTTTGAGATCTCAAAAATGGACGATGTTCACACATGCAAAATGCATGATTTTCAGCATTTGGGATATAACTCTATCACTTTTTCTCCCACCCAAGGAAGTGTACTAGAATTCAAGTGAATGAGAATAACAGTCTTATAGCAATAACCGTGACTGTGGTCTGATGTCTTTTAAGTAAACTGCAAACCTCAGTACTATAATTACCGTGAATTACAAATGACTTTTGACACATATCTTGCAAATGATTATAAATAATTAGTTAAGAACTAATGCAGTAGCTTGTGAGAGGAAGGTAGGGAATAATTACCAGGGGCGAACAGAACAGGGAGCTTCACTGTTTACCCTGTATGGTCCTCTGTGTGGGCCAGATCTTTACCATATTCATCTTGCTGAACTTTCTCTTGAGCTGAGAGTTCATTCACTCACTCATTCATTTAACACTTACTTGTTGAGTGCCTGCTGTGTACCAGGTTTGAGGTACCTCAGTGAACAAATGACAAAACCCCTTCCCTAATGGACCCAACCATCTAGTTGGGAGAGAAAGACAATAAATGAGAAACATAAAATATGACTAAATTATGTAGTATATTAGGAAGTGATAAGAAAAAAGTGATAAAATAAAAATAGAGCAGGGTAAGAGGCTGAGAAAGCCAGGGAGGGTAGAGAGCAATTTTTAATGAGATAGTCTACATAGGCCTCATTAAGAAGGTGCTGTTTGAGCAAGGACTTGAAGCTGGTGAAGATGTGGGCCATGTGCTTCTCTGAGGGAAGAGTGTTCCAGAAAGAATGAACTGCCCATCAAAGGCCCTTAGCAGGAGGGAGCATACCTGGTATATGAGCAGCTGTAAAGAGTCCGGTGTGGCTGGAATGGAGTGAGATGGAGCATAATATAAGAGAAACCCTTCCCTTTCACTGCCGTCATGTTTTCTCAGATATTATTTCCTGGGAATAATTGTCCTTAGGTTGATCCCATCTCCATGTTGAACGGAACAGTTTTTAACTCTGCCTTCCTCCCTGCCCCTGTCACTTTCTGGACTTTCCCTTCTGTCACTATGGGCTCTTGACTGACCATTCCCACACCCCTCATTCCCACCCCAAATAGCCCAGGTCTCAGCCAGCCCTCTCCCACAGGGGATGAGAGTCCTGTGCCCTTGCCAGTCTGTGGGACCCATCCTATTGTGCAGCAGCAGCGCATCTGGCACCTGTACCGACTCGTCTCTGAAAACATCAGCGAGTGGAAGTGCATGGCTTTTGCCAAGGTGCTGACACCTTCCTGGGAGCTTTTGCCTGGGAGTTGAGGACTACAGGAGTGGGAGTGGGGAAGGGTCTCAAGCTGACTGTGAGCCCTTCTCCTTGCAGTTCAGCCTGGCCATGGCCCAGGAGAAGACAGATGGCTGGCTGACAGAGGCAGCTCGAATAAGCACAACCATGGGGCTGCACAGCCCAGTGCTGCAATGCTGCATGCACATGCTGGAGGAGTTTCGCAGCTACCTGCCATTGCTCACCAAGCTGGGCAGCCTCCAGCTGCAGAACCCCAACTGCCAGCCCCTCCTGCGAGGTGTGTTCAGTTAGTGTCAGAGGGGAGGGAAAGGGAAGGATATAGGGGTTAGAGCAATGCAACAACTTAGCCCTCTGGTGCTCCTGCTGGAAACACCTTTCCTCCCTAGGTTGCTCCTTATCCTTTCCCACATACCATAACCTCCTTTCCCCCACAGGGACTTCCTCACTATCATGTGGGGTCCTATTTGCTGATGGGGGTTGGGCTCAGGCTGGGGTCTTAGCTCTGGGCTCCGAGTTGTGCTCTGGACCTTGGGTTCTAAGTTCTCAGCTCTGTGTTGTGCTTTGAGATCTGCTATCTGGGGGCTGAGCTGAGCTGGGCTGGGCTGGACTCTGCCACATACTGGGTGTTACTCTGACATGTTGTCTCCCTACCTCCAGCCTTAGGACTGAACATTCTCCCCAGTATAGAACTCCTAACATTGGGCCAGCTGCTCACTTGTCCACTGCTGGAGTTTGCGGATCGAATCAACCAGGTGGGGCCTACAGTGGGGAGGAAGGGAGGAGGTCCGAGCCCCAGAGCTGTAATAGAGCCAACCACGGCCTAGTAGCCCCTTAAGACAGGGGGGCAGTGGCTGTTGGCATGCAGCTGAGTGGGGGATTGAGATTGTTGACCTGCCTGGAAGGTAGGAACAGACTCCTTAAGTCTCCAGATGGGGATCTGATGGGTGGTTTCAAACTCTCCGTGACTGAGATTATGTCCTTCCTTCCAGGGTAAGGACATAGGTGGCAGCCCCAAAGTTGTGGTGCCACCAAATGGCAAATGTCCCCAAACATTTACCCTGTCCCAAAAGGGCACAAACTGACTGAGCTATTGTCTGCTCAGCTAGAGCCTTGCAAAAGGGTGTGTTTCAAGACAGTGGCACTGGGTCAAAGTAGTTAGATGCTCCTGATGGCCTATCTCTGAAGCATAATGATCCCACTCTCCCTTCATCTCGGAGGCCTCTGCTCCCCTGAGCCCTGGCCCGAGTTCTACCTCAGACCCAACCCCCAAGTCCCAGCTTCAAGGCTATCCCCTGAGCCATTACCCAGTCCTGCTTCCTGAGATCCAGCTGTTCTAGGTCTGGCAGTTCGAAAACGAACGAATTCATGCCCAAGAGACCCTACGGCAGCTGCAGCAGTACTGGGAAATGCGCCAGCTGCGCCTGCTCAACTTCATCCTGCATGTACCCTACAAGCCCCCAGCCTCAGAGCGCACCAAGAGGCAGATGCTCCACAGCCCCCAGTGGGAGGTAGTGGACAAGGATAGTGGCACCTTCATTCTCTCAGGTGAGACCCAGCCGTTCTGGCCCAGTGAAAGACCCTACTTGGGGCCATTTTCATCCACCACATCCAGCCTGGGCCCCATCCAAACTGGACAACCTGACACATCAGTTTGTTCTGAGACAGTGTCTTCCATGTAGCTCCCCTACTGTCTAATTTCCTTGGGAGCGAACTTCCCACCTCCCTCTCTGCACCCAATGCCTGGTTCCTTCAGCAAAGGTCCCTCCCTTCCTGGGTGTACTTAGAAATTTCTCACAGTCACTTCTTTACACTTTTCAATGCTCTGTCCTCTAGGTTGCACCCTGCTGTCTGATTTTATATCTCACTCATTCATTCATTCCTGATCAAACTCACCTGCCTCCTCTGTGCCAAACACAGAAGACACACTTTTCAATGCTCTGTCCTCTAGGTTGCACCCTGCTGTCTGATTTTATACCTCACTCATTCATTCATTCCTGATCAAACTCACCTGCCTCCTCTGTGCCAAACACAGAAGACCCTGAGATTTACAGAGAGCAGCCCTGTCCCTTGGGAACTCCCAGTACAGTGAGAGATAATAGGACACATATAAGTGCATGATGGAGCACCATATTGAGGGCAGTAGAATCTCATGGAGAAGACCAGCTCAAGGGGCCAGGGAGAATCAGAGAAGTCTTCCTTTAGGCAGAAGCCTCATGCTAACTTTTAAAGGAACAGGAGTTTACCAAACTTAAAAGGTGAGAAGGGCATGCCAGACAGAGGGAACAGCATATGTACAAACACCCAAGATGATATAGTTGGGGAACTCACAGTAGAGGAGAAATTCTCTTATCCAGCACAGTTGGAACCCAAACAGTGAATCCAAAAAGTTAGTTAAATAGGGAAATCATAAAATATGATGCATACATGGTTTAAGATTTTTATTTTAGCTTAAAACATACACATGTCCATTTATTTATTAATCTTTTAGCCTAAGGACAAGAGTGTTTCTTTGATTTAGGGTCCACTGATAGATCGTCACTGCCTTTCTTGCATTAATGCATGGTCTACTATTTCTACTTACACTTTCTGTAAAGTTGAGCAGCAACATGAAGACACTTGTAAAGTTACCTGAGTCCAGAAATTTTGTATATTTATTTTATAATTTCCTGAATTTTAAAAATTGACTTGCCTATATGCAGAGAGCATGTTTTTATCAGCTTGCCTTTACTGAAGACTTCCATAGTTTCCATAGAAACAGCAACTCTTTTCCCACCCATATTTCAGTGGTTAACACAATAGTAGATTAAATTCTGTAATTAAAATCATGATATAACTCACAGAAGTAAGTTCGCAAACACACTCTGACTCAATTCAACTAGCAGAAGCAAAAATGTTTGGGTCTTCTAAAGAACAGCTTGAAATTTCTAAGTTTCAGTTGAGTTTTGGGCATTACTCAGTATATTTTACGGTAAGGATGGGGAACATCCACTAAAAGAGCTTGTAGGAGCCCAAAGGCTAATGGAGAAGAGAATGGGTCAGATGGAGCTGGAGAGGTCAGATCATGTGAAGTCTTGTGGGCCCCGTTAAGAATTTACTCAATAGGGGCCGGCCCGGTGGCGCACTGGATAAGTGCGCCGCTTGGGAGGCGCGGCGGCGCTCCCGCCTGAGGGTTTGGATCCCACGTACAGACCGGTTCCCGCTCACTGGCTGAGCGAGGCGCGGGGGCAACACCGAGGGTTGCAGTCCCGTTGCCGGTCCCCGGTCCAGTGCGGGGGCGACACTGAGGGTTGCGATCCGTTGCCGGACACGGAAAAAGACAAAAGACAAAAAAAAAAAAGAATTTACTCAATAACATGAAAACAATGGAGAGCCACCGAAGTTTTTTTGTGTGTGAGGACGTAACGCGATCAAATTTTAGTGTAACAGCCTCACTTTGGTTTCAATATGAAGAACGGATTGAAAGGAGGCAAAGAATGGAAGTTGTAAAATCAGTTAAGAAACTATTGGTTAACCCAAGTGAAAAGTAATAGTAACCTAGACTAGGATAGGAGCAATGGGGAAAGAGAAAATGGGTGGGCTAGTGCTATGTAGAAGTCCAACTGGACAAGACATGGAACTGGTCCAGCTTCTGCATGGAAGAGAATGTATGTCCTTTCTGTTCTAACATGGATGTTCCTATCACCCCAACTCTTTATCCTTGTCATCTCTCTATGTCCAGCATTTGGTTATGAATGCCTTCCCCAGCTATTTGGGGCACATTGATAAATGGTGCCCAGCCTCCTTGTTCACATCTCCCTTATTAAGGACTCACAAGTTTTTGGTATTGAGTGATACAGAGGCTGGATTTCTACAGTTAACATTTGCACCAAGACCCAAAGCAGTTTCTCTTCCCATCTTTGTCCTGAGCACATTTTAGCCTGCTCCTTTTGCCCATCCCTGACCCTGGTTCCACACTTTGCAAATCTGCTTCTACTTGGTCTCCACCACTTTTCTGCATCATCCTTAGATTCCTCTGTTACTAAAAGTAATACATAAAAATTCATAGCACAGAGTACAGGCTCTGGATATTCTGGGCCTTGGGCTGTCTCTGAGATGCCAGCCTGGGTCTTCCCAGTCTCATACCTTCAGATGCCAGCCTGGGTCTTCCCAGTCTTTACTTGAGCTCACACCCCTTTCCTCACCTTTGCTTGCTCCCAGTCTTCCCTTCTTTCTCTAAGCTGGCACTTGCACCAAGTACTTGTATAGTTGGGGTGTCTTTCTACAGGTTCTCTCCTTTCTCTGCATCAGGCTTCCTTTTCCTGTCAGCTCCAGGCATGTTAATCAAGGACCACATCTTTGTGGTGGCCACACCCAAATGAGACAAAGATGGTGGAACTTTTCGTGTATTTCATTCCTTCCCCCAGGAAGACAAGGTGTTGCAGGGTGAGGGATACCTACTAGTCATTAATTCTCCCCTTTAGTTTCTCGACCAAATGATAACAAGGAAATAGATGAAAATAAAGTGCAATATCAGAACTATTACTCTCAAGATACTGTATGTTTTTGATATAACATGTTGACAGACACAACTTGGCTCTAGGTCAAGTGAGACTTCATTCTACCTCTTCATACCCTTCCCAAAATCAACTGAGAACTTGAGGTCTGTGTCAATATGCAGATGAAACTTGAGTACACTTACTCAGGTAGCTACCTGCAGGACTGTGGCCTGAATCATATCCCTTAGACTAAGAGATGGGCATTTTTACCTCTTCACATGGCAGAGGAGCAAGCAGAGTGGCTAAAAATATTACCCCGATATTGTCTTCTCTGGAGAGTAGAGTATATTTTCACTCTGAGAGCAGGATACTGAGAATTTTCTCCCTAACAGAGGTGTTTGGAGAATCCTACATCTGTCTGACTAAACCTCCTCTCGATTCTTCTCTCATTTTTCACCCCAGTTAGTGTCCCTACTGCACTTCCAGCCCTAGTCTCACAGGGCATGATGGGATGAACCTTTAAGCAGCACCAGGGAGCCAAGTGCTAAGATTATGAGAGAAAATTTTGGCCTCAGCTTTTCTACCAGGACCCCTTTCATCCCAGAATGTTAGAAGGGACGATGTTTTGTAGCTATAGAAATGTTATGTAGGGCCGGCCCGGTGGCGCACTGGATAAGTGCGCTGCTTGGGAAGCGCGGCGGCGCTCCCGCCCGAGGGTTCGGATCCCACATACAGACCGGTTCCCGCTCACTGGCTGAGCGAGGCGCAGGGGCAACGCCGAGGGTTGCAATCCCGTTGCCGGTCCCCGGTTCGGTAGGGAGGCAACACTGAGGGTTGCGATCTGTTGCCGGACACGGAAAAAGACAAAAGACAAATTTAAAAAAAAAAAAAAAGAAAAAAGAAATGTTATGTAGGGACGATGCTTTTAGCTCTCTTCCCAGGCTGGAGGCTCTAGTTCTTCAATGAACTTCCATGGAACTAGGTGGATACTTAGAGTATCTAGCCGGGGAAATCAGCTGGCCTAGAGTCTGCCCAGTGCCTGGGGGAAGGGTGAGTTTCTCCTCTCCCTGCTTTGAGACCTGAGTGCTCTACTGGTTCTACTGTACTGGCCAGTGCATTAAGGTCTCTGGAATTGCCTCCCTTGGAAGGTTACTCTGGTCTATTCTTTTTCTGCCCCAGCCCCTACCCTTGCCTTATTTGACTGCCAGCTCAGCTTTTTCTTCTTCAGACCACAGCAGCCTACAGGATTCCATCCAGGAAAGCCTTCAGGTCTTGTTCAAGATCTTGGCCACCCAAAAGTCAGGAGACTTATACAAAATGGCTTTGGAGTGGGTGACCATCATGCATGGCCTAGGTGAGTGCAGGACTCTCGCTGGGCTGATGGGCGGGACCTGAGGTAGGATGACCCAGAAGGATGGGGGTGAGAGGTGGAGGGTGACTAGGGGAAGATCTGAAAGACAGAATGAGGACCTCCTTCAGAGCTATTTTTTGGGATGAGCTGACCAAGTCTTTATTCACAGTGAAAGTTTTATTTCCCCTTCCGGTTGGGCTGGAGGGGAACCTGAGAAGTCAGGAGCAGGCTGGACGCACTTGCAGAAGCTAGTACCCTGGTGTTTCTCTGGCTGCTTACACAGGTTCCCTGCTGGATGTGTGGGTGACTTTCCAGCAGAAGTGGATTTTTCTGAATAAAGTTCTGCATGAGATGAAGATCCAGTTTCCTAGCACTGTCCTGGTAGGGAAGGGGGCCGAGACAGTGGGCAAGGGCTACTGAACAGCGGGGCTCAAGGTCGGAGGGGGAGCTGCCACTTCACACTTGCCCTCACTTTTACCCTGTCCCTCACCACAGAACTCTCGTTTCAAGGTCATGGATGATCAGTATCGGACCCTGATGCACATCTCTGTAGCTGACCCCATGGTTCTGTCACTTATAGTGCCCAGTGCCAAGAGGAGCCCTTACTTCCAAGGCCAGCAGCTGCAACAATTGCTGCAAGCAGGATCAGTGGAGCTGGAGGGCATCATCATGGCTCTGGAGAGTGTGCTCTATGGAGTGTGTGTGCACTTCCCCCGCCTCTTCTTCCTCAGTGACAGTGAGCTGGTGGCCTTGCTGGCTGCCCCGCTGGAGTTATGTGAGGCCCAGCTATGGGTACAACGTTGCTTTCCTCATGTGCATGCTGTGAGCTTCAAGTCCAGCCCAAGTGATGAGAAAAATATGGATGACCGGGAGTCAAGCCCAAGCACACAGACTCAGGTGAAGGCTGTTGCAGTGCTAGGGGTAGGTGGGGAGGAGGTGAAGCTACGGGGACCCCTTTTTTTGCATCCAGATCTCCCTAAATGGCTGGCCTCTCTGGAGAAGTGTCTGCGCTTGACATTGGTACACATGCTGCAGGACTGTGTGGCCGCCCACCTTGCATCCCTAGGTGAAGCCTTCAAGCAGCCACCCCAGCAAAGCCAGTTGCCTGTGCAACTGTATGTCCACCACTGGCTGGATTTAGTCCAGGCCTTCCCATGGCAGTGTGTGCTGGTGGCAGAGGAGATAGTGTGGCGAGCTGAGACAGAGGAATCTTTGCTTAAGGGGGAGACCCTGGCCATGGTCCCCATGCATATGCGCAAGCTCGAGGTACTAGTGCACTTTTTGCAGTCCCAGAGGAGCTCCCAGAGTGGACAGCCCCTGCACTCAGTCCGCCAGGCCAGCCTGCTCAGTGCCCTGCTGGTCATGGCGGTGACTCACCGGGATATAGCACAGCTTCTAGAGCAACACCAGGTCAGTGATCTGAGAGACTTCCACTGGGTCCGCCAACTCAAATATCACCTGGGTTCACCTCACGTGATCCCCAAAAGCCCCCTGCAGAGTCTCAGGACTATTGCATCTGCTGAGCCTTCTCTGTCACCAGCTGCATGCTGGATAGATGTGCTGGACCGGTCTTTCCTATACAATTATGAGTACCTGGGTCCCAGACTGGGGCCTCTACCCAGCCTGCTACCTGAGCGGCCAGCTCTAGTGCTGTTATTAGCCCTGGAGGAGGTGGCCTGTGGTACCCTTCTGGGCCCTGATGGTGTGGGCAAGACATCTATAGTGAATACCCTGGCACGGGCCCTGGGCCGCCAGCTGGTGATTATGCACTGCTCACCTCAGATAGAGGCCCGATGCCTGAGCAACTACCTGAATGGTGCCCTGCAGAGTGGGGCCTGGCTGCTTTTGGAAGCAGTTCAGCATCTTCCCCCTGGCTTGCTCTCTGCCCTGAGTCAGCGCCTGGCTGAACTGCACCACCTCTGTGCCCCACTGTACCAGGCAGCCTCCCGAAGCACCAGCACCATAGACCCCACCCAGCCCCAGCTCCTCGGCAGTGGTTTCTTTGAGAAACATCACGTGTCCATGCGCCTTGGCTATGGCTGTCTCCTGACAATGCGTGCCCTGAACTCTGCTGTGCCTGCCAATCTGCACCTGCTATTGCGGCCTGTGGCTTTGGCACTGCCTGACCTGCAGCAAGTGGCAGAGCTGACCCTGCTGGGTGCAGGGATGCGGGATGCCTCCCGCATGGCTTCCCGCCTATCCAAATTCTTCTCCCTAGAGCGTGAGCTGTTATCTGGGCCCCTCCCTTGCCGCTTGCCACTGCTCAAGCAGATACTAGAAGACACAATAAACACATTAAATGGGACCGAGGAGGACCTCAAGTCCCAGCAGTCCCACAGCCTAGCTGCCATCGAGGAGATGACACTTCTGCGTGCTCTGATGCGCTCACCACTGTTCAGCATCCTCGATGGGCTCCGCCTGAACAATCTCCGAGAGCTGCTCTGTGGGCTTTTTCCTAGCGCCAGCCAAGTGCTGGCAGAGCCCATGACCACCAGGCTCATGAAGCCGCTGATGGTGGAGGAACTGCGGCAGGTAGGCCTGCATCCCAGCCCTGGCATTTTGGGGTCCCTGGAGCAGCTGAGCCAGGCCCTAAGCCGGGCCTCAGGCATTCTGCTCCTGGGCCCTGCAGGCAGTGGCAAGACTACTTGTTGGCACAGCTTATTTAAGATCCAGCATCGGCTGGCAGCCATGGAAGACACCTCATCACAGGGCTTTCAGCCTGTGGAAATTACTCACCTCTACCCCAGTGTTCTCAGCCCCCAGGAGTTCCTGGGATGGCTAGAGGGCCCCTGCTGGCACCATGGCGTCTTTCCCAGGCTACTTCATGCAGCCAATCATAGTAACAGTGTGGGCCCAAAGGGACAGACAGAGGAGTCGATGGGGATCCAGCGCTGGATAATATGTGATGGGGCCTCCAGTGCTGCTTGGCTGGACTCCATCACTTGCCTCTTGAGTGACCCTCCACAGCTTAGCCTCCCCAATGGTCAGCAGATAGCACGACCCCCAGGCACCTTTCTCTTGATGGAGGTGGCAGACACAGCCAGTATGTCCCCCACGGTGGTGGGCCGTTGTGCCCTAGTCTGGTGTGGTGGGGAGCAGACTTGGCAGTGTATGCTTAGCGTCCTGATGGCAGCTCTGCCCCGTGAGTATCGCCTGCAGCACCAGACGATCACTGAGCTCAACCGCCTGGCTGAAGTTCTGGTGCCTGCAACATTCCGATTCCTCGCTCGCCAGGGTGCCAGCTCTCTGCTGCAGGTACATGGGCAGCAGGCTGTTTGCCCAGGCGTGGCTGAAGTTACCAGCCTGGCTCGCATCTTGCATGGTCTGCTTGATCCCCACCTGCGCCTAGAGGAGGAGAAGGCACATGGCCCAGGTGGGGAGATGGAAGGGCTGGTGTGACAGAGATGGGGCCTCGAGGGTAGCTGGGGTATAGCTGGATTCTGGGGCATGGGTTCTTTGGTGGAGCTGGGCCAGAGGACTGCAAGTAAGGAGAAGTAAAACTGTCAACCTTTACTCTTGCCTCTACCTGCCCCCCCCCCCTTTCCTACTGGGGCTTCTATTCTGGCCATGGTGACCTTTGCAGAGGACGTCTGCTGCAGTGATCCTGTGACCCAAAGCTTCAGGTATTCAAAAAGCAGCTCTCTAAACTGGTCCCAGGTTGACAGTGATGATGTGTCAAATAAGCACAGGGAGCACTTGCTGGCTATTAGCAGTTTTCTTTTTGCCCTGATCTGGGGCTTTGGATCCCACCTTCCTTCCAGGTACCTACAGGGATGAGGGATGTGGGATGTGGAGGACTGAGATGGACTGGCCCTTGGGAGTTAAAACCCGTGTCACATCACTGTTCGGGTGTAGTGGAATGTGTCAGTGTGTCACGAAGTGTTGTAACTATCTGGCACTTTTGCCTGTGTGTCCATTTGAGCAGGCTCTGGCCCCTCTTTGATACCTTCATGAAGGATTCTATTAGTTGCCTCTCCAACTACCCTGAGCCACCATCCTCAGCCTTGGTGTTTGACCTACATGTAAGCTCTGAAGATGGGACACTGGTTCCCTTCACTGGCCAGTATCTGAGCAGCCACGTCAGAGGAACTCTGGGCACCTTCCACCCTTCTACCCAGGTATGAGGACAGTGGAGCAGGAGCTGGGTTTGGGACTGGAGATATACTAGGGATAATCCCCAGCTGGGCCCACTTGCTCCCATTCTTTGATATGTTTTTACAATCACAAAAATACACGAAGTGTTCTCCAAGTACAGCTTTAAGTCCCCTAGACCTTTATTTTCAACTAGATTACTGTTCTACACTGGAGCTGCCACACTCCTGTTTCTGCAGACTGAACGGCTCTTGTATGTGGTAGACCTGCTTCTGTCAAGGGAGCAGCCAGTGCTGCTGGCTGGAGAAGCAGCAACAGGGAAGTCAGCTTTTGTGGAAGTGTTGGTGGAGCCAAACCACCCTTACACATACAGCTCCATCCACCCTGCCTTCAGTTCCACCCACCTTCGCCTACTGCTGAGCAGAGGAGTCCAGGGCCAAGCACAAGTCGGGCCATGGCCTGGACATCACCAGGATTCTAAAGGCTCCCTCCTCTTCCTGCTGGAGGATCTGCACCTGGCTGCTTCTGGTGAGGAGCTGGGGGGAGGGAAGGAAAGAGTGAATGACTGTCATCTCTTGACACTGTAAAATTCCTAGCAATATTCATTTACTCTCAAATATATGTCTACAGATTAAACTTCAGTGTTCCATTCTTAATGTCTTCTTATTCTACATATGCTCCCTGAGCAATCTCGCCCCTCTCATGGCCTCATCTACCATCTCTTCCAAATCTGTGTCTTCAATGCAGGCTTCTCTTTTAAGCACTGTTTATCCACTATCTACTGTACATCGGCACTTTGTTGTCCCATTGGCACCTCAGACCCAACCCTGAGCTTATCATCTTTCTCCCCACATTCTGTTTCCTGTGTGTCCTTTTAGTAACTGGTACCACCATCTAGACTCTTCAGCCAGAAGTCTTGCTGACAACTCTTCTCTCATCAATGTCCAGTCACCATGTCTCTCAATTCTGCCTCCTAAATATCTCTTGAATCTTTCTTTCCACGTATGTCCATGGTTCATATAATCATTACCTGGAACTTTGGCAAATACTCTCACATATCTCTTTGTGATGAGGCTTTCTTTTCTAGACTCTTACACTCTGTAATCTAACTGGATTCAAGAAGTTAGGCTTCCTTTAGCCTCTGGGATTGCTGTCCTCTCTGCCTTCTCGATTTATCTGGCTAAATCTTACTTATTCTTTCCAAATCATCTTCCTGGAGGCATTAACTCCTTCGGAAAGCCTGACCTCTATTCTAGGTTAGATGCCAATCCTATGCTCTTTACAATAATGTGTGACAACCATGATTTTATGATTATATGTTTGTCTGTCCTTTTTACCACATTCTGAGATTCATGAGAACAGGGATTTCTCTCATTCATTTTGATAGACCCAACAGAAATTAAGGGCTCAATAATAGTTTGTAGAAGAAAAGATAACGAAGGAAAAGGGAGAAATTAGTATGAAAGTTTGGGATGTTGAAATTTAAAGTTCTAAAGTAGTTCTATTAGTCCATTTCTGTTGCTTATAACGAAATACACAGAACTGGGTTATTTATATATTTATTTATTTATTATTTATTATTTTTTATTTTTTTAAAAGATGACCAGTAAGGGGATCTTAACCCTTGATTTGGTGTTGTCAGCACCACGCTTTCCCAAGTGAGCTAACCCGGCCATCCCTACACAGGAATCCAAACCCTCGGCCTTGGTGTTTTCAGCACCACACTCTCCCAAGTGAGCCACATTTGTAAAGTAAACAAAATTTATTGCTTACAGTTTCTGAGGCTGAGAAGTCCAAACTGTGAGGAACACATCTGATGATGGCGACAGTGACCCAAGGGTCTCACATTGCAAGCTGGTGGCAGCAGAGAGAGCAAGAGAGAGAGAAATGCAGACTTTCCTCTTCTTTTAAAGCCCTCAGAACCATGCCCCTGACCACCATTTTTAATCCATTCACTATTGCACAGTCCTACAATCCAATCACCTCTTCAAGGCTCCACCTTTCAATTACCATAGAAGATTACCCACCCTCTTAACAGTCACATAGGGGGCTAAGTTTTTAATACATAAAACTTGGGGGACACAATTCAAACTCCAGTGAGTTTTGGGGGCACATAATTCAATTCACTACAATGGTGTACCTCCAGATGATGGATGACAGGTTCTAAATATGGCAATGAAATGGGTAGAAGTGAAGTATATGTAGAGGTTGTTGGAGTCAAAGGGCTAAAGCATTGGATAGGTTGTTCATTCAAACATTAAAGTCCCTAAGGGATGTAGAAAACTTCAACCAGGTGTATTAGTAAAAAATAGCATGTACAGTTTATTGAGTATCTAGTATGTTTTACATGATTTATCTATCTCTTTTAGTATTCATAAAAACTGAGTAAGATGGAGATTTTTTTATTATTATTCTAAAGGTGAAGAAACTGAGACAGATTTTATAACCTGCTCAAGACATCCTACCTATTAAATGTCAGAACCAAGATTAAAATTCAAGTCTACTTGGCTCCAAAACCCATAGTTCCTTACAATGATATTATTTGGCCTTTGTGATGAATTTTCATGAGTAATTAGAGTGCCATTGGACAACAAAAGAGGTAAAGAGTAGTACAGCCAGATCTATGAAGAGATTTCAATTAAGAGATTTCAACAAGAGGGTTGAAAATATTGCAAGCAACATTATAGAGTGAAACAGTCTAACACAGCTGACAGAGTGTAAAAGGTGTCCTTGGGTGACAACCACCAAAACATTCAGTATAAAATAAAAAATTAATAGACAGGGCCGGCCCGGTGGCGCACTGCTACAGTGCGCCTCTTGGGAGTGCAGTGGCACTCCCGCCGAGGGTTCGGATCCCACATACAGACCGGTTCCCGCTCACTGGCTGAGTGAGGGGCGGGCGCAGCACCGAGGGTTGCGATCCCGTTGCCGGTCCCGGTCCAGTACGGGCGCAACACTGAGGGTTGCGATCCGTTGCTGGGCACAAAAAAAAGAAAAAAAAAAAAAAAAAAAAGAAAAAAAAAAAAAAAAAAAAGAAAAAAAAAAAAAAAAAAAAGAAAAAAAAAAAAAAAAAAAAGAAAAAAAAAAAAAAAAAAAAGAAAAAAAAAAAAAAAAAAAAGAAAAAAAAAAAAAAAAAAAAGAAAAAAAAAAAAAAAAAAAAGAAAAAAAAAAAAAAAAAAAAGAAAAAAAAAAAAAAAAAAAAAAAAAAAAAAGAAAGAAAAAAAATTAATAGACATACAAAAAAGAAAAAAAACTAGAAATATGTGACCCATTGTCAAGAAGCAGTCAATAAAAACTGACCCTAAGATGGTCTAGAGGTTGGATTTAGCAGACAAATACTTTAAAGCAGCTGTTATAAAAGGATTCAAGTACTTAAAGGAAGATATGATCTTAATGAGTGAACAGGTAAGGAATCTCAGAGAAATGGAAAATACTAAAAAGAACTAAATGGAAATTTCAGAATTAAAAAATTCAATAAATGAAATGAAAATTTTACTGGATGGGCTTAACAGCAGTTTGGAAATGGCAGAAGAAAGTTAGAGAACCCTGAAGAATATAAAAATATCGAATTTGAATAGAGCTTAAGTCTAACATGTATAATTAGAGTCCCAGAGGAGAAGAGAGTGAGAATAGGGCAAAAGGAATGTTTGAGGAAATAATGACCAAATTTTTCCCAGATTTCTTGAAAAATAGTGACTTTCAGATATAAAAAGCTCAGTTATCCCAAAGCAGAATAATAAAAAGAAAGCCACGTCTAGGTACATCATAGTCAAGCCGCTGAAAACCAAAAAAGAAAACCTTTGAAACTGGTCAGAAGAAGAAAAAAAAAGACATATTATATATTGAGAAACAACATTAAGAATGATGGTTAACTTCTCATTAAAAATAATGGAATCCAAATGATGGTGGAAAAATAACTTTTAAAGTACTAAAAAGAAAAAACAAAAACAAAAAACCCCGTCAACCTAGAAGTCTCTACCTCGTAAAGATACCCTTCATAAATGAGGGTGAAATAAAGGTATTTTGGATACATGAAAGCTGAGAAAAGCCCTTGCTGCTAGAACTTGACTATAAGGAATACTAAAAAGATGTTCTTCGGGCAGAAATGAAAAATAGCAGATAGAAACTCAGATCTACAAAAAAGGATGAAGATCATCAGAAATTGTAAATATGTGGGTATATATAAATGAATATCTTTTTCTTCCCTTAATTTCCTTAAAAGACTGTTGACAGTTTAAAACAAAAATAATAACATTGTTAGGTGGGGTTGGTAATGTTGGTAGAAGTAAAGGAGCCAATAGCTATAATAGCAAAAGGATGGGGTCAAGGAAATTGAATTAAACTGTTGTAAGATGCTTACATTTGTGAAATGGGAAGTGTTAAATGTGAAATAGGAGGAGTGAAATAGGAAGTGGGAAAGGTCAAATATGAAGTGCAAAGTGGTTCAATGTTACTTCTAATATTGTTAGTTAAGGAGGCACATTTTTAGCCTTGAAAAATCACTAAATAATAATAATAAAGAATAGAGCTAAAGAGCCAATTAATGCAATGAGATATTTAAAATATTTGTTATGCAAAAGGAAGCAAGAAAGCAACAGAGAAATAAAAATATAAAAGAGACAAATAGAAAACAAATAACAATATGATGGACTTTGAACCAACCATATCAGTAAATACATTCAATGTAAATGGACTAAGCACTCCAAATAAAAGGCCATCTTTGTCAGACTAGACAAAGAATAAGGCATAGTTATATGCTGTCTGAGAGATGCATATTTTATATTTAAATTGCTTTAAATATAAAAACACAGATTAAAAGTAAAAGAAAAAAAAGGCAAAATAGGATGCCTAAAGAAGTTGGCGTGTATAAGGTGAGAGGAGGCCTGCTGTCCCACCTGCATGCAGCAGCGCTGGCCTCCTCTCCCCTGCCAGCCGGAACTGCTCACGCCCAGGCTTTTTTCAGTTTCAATCACATTTAAATAAATCACTTAGAGCCTGTAGCTCCATTGCACCATGTGTGGCATTTGGGCCCTCTGGGGCAGTGATGATTGCCTTTCTGTTCAATGTCTGAGTGCTATGAAGATTGCACGCTGGGGTACACATACATTTCATTTTAAGAATGTCAACGGGTATACCAACTGCTGCTTTGGATTTCACTGGCTGGCAGTGGTTGACCAGCTGTTTGGAATGCAGCCAATTCGACTGAAGAAATATCCTTATTTGTGGCTCTGTTACAATGCTGAAATCTACAAACACAAGAAGATGAAACACCATTTTGAATTTGAATGCCAGACCAAAGTGGATGGTGAGATCATTCTTCATCTTTATGACAAAGGAGGAATTGAACAAACAATATGTATGTTGGATGGGGTGTTTGCATTTATTTTACTGGAAACTGCCAGTACAGTGTTCCCGGGCAGAGATACCTATGCAATCAGACCTTTCTTTAAAGCCACGACATAAGGTGGATTTGGGGCTGTGTGTTCAGAAGCTAAAGGTCTTGTTACATTGAAGCACTCCACCACTCC